TGAGATGTATGTCATGTACGTTGTGCTGAATTTGTCCTCTGTACTTTGATTTTGTGATGTTTTTTTCTTTTGCATAAAATTGGTGGTATTTACTGTGGTTTGAAATCTCTTTAAGTTATGCGTCATTTCACGCAATCCGTTTTTGGCTTTTGCCTTTGTCCATACTTCTTCGGGCCTCTCTGGACATCGATTTGCGCAGGGAGCTTCTTTGAAATAATAGACCAGCAGGATTTTGTACTCAGATGTCATGTGTAAGGTGATATTTTACGGTGCAAAATTCCGTCCTGCTTCCCTTGATGCTGAATAATTACAAAATTAAAATACGCATTTTAAGTGTCGTAACAAATTCGTCGAAAATCTGCAATCTTTTAATGAAAACAGGTTGTTGTTTACCATATCGTACTGTCAGATTTTCAAGTATTTCTGCCCTGCATTAGGGATTGTCCTCATTATGCGCTATTTATGCAGGCTTTGATTTTTATTTTTATTTTTTTAGGTTTGATGGCTCAGGAAATCCATATTTTCTTTCCGGCACGCATTTTGAGAAGTTTAATTCGAAATAAAATATTTTAGCGTTGGAAAGAAGAAATTGATGAAATTTTGAATGTATTTATATATGAAAATATGTATGAAAATTATGAAAATATGTATGAAAATTATTATAAAATATATTGAAAATTATTTTTAATGGTAAGAAATGTTTCGGTCCATTAAGAAGTCGCATACAGTTGGCAGTTCAATTTTGAAATCTGTAGGTTCTTTAGAACATGGATATGCAAGAGGGACGCGCACGAATCCACGCTATTCCAGTTGATGTGTGTCGCAAAATTTGCACCGATCAAGTTGTCATAACACTTTCCGGTGCGTGCAAGGAACTAATTGACAATTCGCTGGATGCTGGAGCCAAAACAATTGGTTCGTCTGGCATAATCATTTTTATGCGTTTTTTGCAGCTATGCAACGCAGAAAACGCATATTGACGAGAGGTTGTCTGTGTATGTGTCTGTGTGTGTGTCTGTACCGATTTTTCATCTCAAGACCTATAAAAGTTGCAGAACTAATCTGCATGCACATACGGGCCCCAATCCCCAACATGGGCGTCATTACCCGCGTGGTACCCACATACGGGCCCGCCATAGTTTTGTCGGGTAAGTTGCTAACTCAGGAGCCAGGAAAGCTAGAAAGCTGAAGTTTTAGGAGGCATTTCCTAACAGTTCTGGCGGCCAATCTTAATTTGTTTAGCTGGAAGAATTTCTCGAAAAAACCGGCGCCGGTAGCGATAAAAACTGCGGAGAACTATGCAAAAAACACATCACCGTACGGGCAGCTCGTGCATTGGCTAGTTATTCAAACTTGGTTTCTTTAGCGACATGAAATGTGGTGCAGTCTACGGTTTTAGTGGGGGTAGTTGTTAACTCAGCATCGTTGAATTTTTTTGAATTTTCAGAAATTCGGACAAGAAAAATGGGATTTGAGGCGCTGGAAACTGTGGACGACGGGAGTGGTATTCATTCGGACGATTTCGATGCACTTTGTAAGTTTGTAGATCGACCAAATCGTAACCTGAAAGAACACTTTGTAGGCTGACCAAATCGTAACACCTGAAAGAGCGGTAAAATGATTTACTCCAGTCGGCGAAAGACAAAAAAATTTGGCGAAGACTGCTTTATTGCTAGCAAAAAGCGACTTGCGTGCGAACACGTGAAAATTTCACGCATGCACTTTTGTAACTTCAGAATTGAACCAGCCACAGGAACTTGCAAATTTTGCCCATCAGTTTCGCTGGTTGAAGGATAAGGTAGAAAGTGATGTACTCTTTGAGCTAGAATCAATGAGACCCTCAAAATCATATCATATGTATGCTGTTTTCTTGGGCACTGAGGGCGATGAGGCTAAAAAGTTCAGCGACAAGCTTGGTCCAAAATAAGTGTGAAATCCGTGTGCAGTAGGGGATCCATACGTCCGTTGCGTATGTATTATTAAGAAGTATTTTGTCGGAATCGGACTGCCATTATTAAGATCCCCAAATTTCTCGGGATATCCACCTCTCTGCAATTGCAGGCAAATCTCATGCAACATCGAAATTGTCGAATTTTTCGGATTTTAATCATCTTACTACGTTTGGTTTTCGCGGCGAAGCTCTGAACTCACTTTGCGCTGTAAGGTTAGTCAGTTTAATTTTGAATATCATCCTCCATTACTGATATATTTGTTCTGCTAGCCTTGCGTTGATTTCATAAGTTTTACTGTTGTGGCCCCTCCGATTTCCGGTCGTTCGGCACTAGTGATCTCGCTTTGATGACACCTTTTATATCCGCAACAGCCCGTTGTTTTGACAGGGAATATTCGAAAAGCTGAACAAGCCGAATCAGGCGAAAATCCTCGCCCATTTTTTTTTGTTTTAGGCAATATCTAGATATAAACTCCGTCGTGATTGCAGTGCAAGCTCGCTCTAATGCGATATCGAGACTTTGATTTAGATTTTTGCCATTTTCAATATATAGTAAAGTAACTTCATAGCCTATTGAAGTATTAGATTTGCGAGAAAAAAAAATATATAAAATGGAAACTGTGTGTTTTTCGGGGCACCTGAGCTTCCCATGCTATTCGGCGCTTGCTGAATGGCATTCTTTCGTAGGATACCCCGCAAGTACAAGAAGAGATCGGTAGGGCTCGTGAAA